ACAAGCTGTTTTTTTTTTTAAATTATACATAATTTTTATACATAAAATTTATGTTTTATATGGTGGATTGCACATTAAAAGCACAATCTAAATGTTAAAATTACTAAATGATTATTAATAAAATAATATAAAAAATTGTTTTATTAAGAATATTTTAATAAATTTATAAGTTACACTATTTCTTTTTTTGATGCAATAAGTTACACTATATTTAAAACACTTTTCATTTATACATATTACTTATATAAAAATTTAATCATAATTTTTAGATGAAAAAGATTATTATCTTTAAACACTAAAATAAAAAAATATAAATATCAATTATTCGTAGTGAAAAGATGAATGATAATGATTTTACGTAAATGATGTATATAAAACTTATATATAAGTAGATCCTACCTTTATATTAAATTACTTTAAAGGTGTTTGCCAAAACTTTAAAAAAACCTTATTTAAAAACAATTTTTTTCTCATAAATTTAAAAATTTTATTGAAGAAAAATTCAAAAATTAACTTTTAAAGTAAATTTTTAAAAAATTACATATTCAAAATTTCTCAACATTTACTTAGAAACTGCTTTAAAAATTAATTTTTAAATTTTCTCCAAACAAAATTTTAAATTTATAAGAGAAATTTTCACTTTTTAAAGTAAATGCTTTTTAAGCATTTCCAAACACCCTCTCCTACCATATATTTTATTTTTTCTTTTCTTTTCTTTATAACAATCTCCCTTTATGTTTTTAACGAACAAAACTCAGGGCATTAAAGCTCCACAATTCTTTCTCCATTTAATTTTAGATTTTTCTAATATATGTCATAAGGGCACAGATTAAGGTATGATAAATATAATTTGTTACAATTAATTTACACAAAAAATAATAAAAATTAACATTTATTTTAATGTTATTAAAACATAAATAGTTTTAATTAGTCAATTAATTAAATTTAAATTAATTTTTATCATTTTTTATATACATTAATTATAAAATAATGCATTTATTGCACACTCTTAAAGTATAGGATAAAAAATTCCTTTAATTTTTATAGTTAACAACTGATGTCTCTTCCTCTCCGTCACTAATTCCATATGCCATATGCATGTACAAGAATTGGGTAACCTGAGCAATGTGGAGGTGCTTATTTTGAGTCATAATAGCCTCAATGGAAGCTTGCCAATGCAAGGTATTAAATGATGAACTCCTCCATTACAATCCCAAGGTTCAATTTATCTACTTTGCTCCTTCGAAAATATAGGTTGACACTACATACTGTTCTTGTTTATCTATTGATAGGTTTTATGAGACTGGAGATATTAGATTTGAGCTCAAATCAATTCATCGGGTCCATTCCTTCATCTATTGTGGCACTTCATTCTCTAAAGGCATTATCTCTATCTTTTAATCAATTTACCGGCTCATTACCAAATCCCGGTACGTAAAAAATTAATTTATTCTTTTTCCTTCTTGCACATGTGATGGCATGATCAAGACTAAGTCTAACAAGGGATACTACGTTAATCAATGTTCCGAAGGCTTTATGCTGCTTCTTTAAAAAAAAAAAAATAAAGAAGGGACATATTCTGTAGGTTTGTCGAAATGGAATTCTTAATGGTTAAAATCCAATATATGTAGGTCCTAAATTCTAACTCATGTTTGGCCCAATTTAGCTGGACTCACTACTCAAGACATATTTCATGGGCGGCTTTTGAAAGCCGAAAAAAAAAAAGCATGGCAATAAAAGCCTGAATGCTTAATAAGATAAAAGTACTTTGCAGATTGTTTTCTAAAAATTTTTTAGATAATATATTTAAAATTTTATTTTTTATTTAATATTTTGAAAAATTAATTGTTGAATTGAATATTTTATTTTTATAAATCATGCATGTCAATTTTAAAATTATTTCAGTAAGTTTAACCACTTTGATTAAATGATTAAGTGTTAGATTAACATAAAAATTAAAATCTATGATCTATATAAATAAAATTTTTAATTCAATAATTCATTTTTAAAATATTAATTAAAATGTGAATTTTTAGATATGTTCTTCAAAAACAATATGAGGAAGAAGACCTCATGCCTAATTGTTATACTTTTTGTCAGTTAAACAAAGCCGATCATAATCTCTTTTTTGCTCTAGATAGAGGGCATTAGTAATTTGAATGAGATTAGGAAAATAAACAAAAATTGAAAATTCATTGGTAATTTTTGACGAATGCAATTGCATTGATTCAAATAATTGGAAATTAATTGAGAGATCTTTTAGTAAACTAATGAAACACAAAATTCACTATGAATTCTTAGCAAACAATTTATGTCCTTTATGGCAGGTCTGTGTGGATTAAAGAGGCTTCAAGAGTTGGATTTGAGCCAAAACAATTTTGAAGGGACACTTCCTCCATGTCTAAACAATCTAACATCTCTTAAACTTTTAGATATTTCAGACAATTTTTTCTCCAAAAACCTTTCATCAGATTTGATACAAAGCCTCCCATTATCCCTTGAATTCATTGATATTTGTCACAACAATTTCCAAGGCTTATTCTCTTTTAGCTCAATTGGGAATTACTCCAAGCTTGAGGTATTCATGCTCACAGGCTACAAAGATAGACTACAGGTTGATGTTCAATATACAAATTCGATTAAGATGTTGTTTCAATTCAAGGCATTGATACTTTCTGATTTAAACCTAAACAGTATTCCACAGTTTCTCTTTTATCAACAAAAATTGAGAGTAATTGATCTTTCTCACAACAAGTTGAAAGAAGAGTTCCCTGTTTGGCTATTGCAAAACAATTCGAACCTCAAATTTATGAATCTCAGGAATAATTTTTTTGTTGGTCAACTCTATTTGCCATCATATGAAATTAGAAATATGGTTTGGTTGGATCTCTCAAACAATCATTTTACTGGAAAGTTACTAGAGGACTTTGGGGACAAACTTCTTTGCTTACAGTATCTGAATTTGTCTCAGAATCAGTTTGAAGGTACTCTCCCAAGTAGTCTTGGTAATATGAGAGATTTGGCAAAGTTGGATTTGGCCTTCAATTTTTTCTCAGGAGAAGTCCCTAACGAATTACTTGTGGGCTGTAGCAATTTGCAACATTTGAGGTTGTCTTACAATAGACTTAATGGCCAATTTTTCTCATCTAAATTCAACTTGAGCACTTTGTTACAACTAGAATTAAACAACAATGGGTTCACTGGAAGCTTGTTGAATGTGAAGCTTGAGACATTGGACATATTAGATGTTAGCAACAACTACTTGAGGGGTCCAATTCCTACCTGGGCTACTAAGGTGAGTTGGTTAATTTCAATGAGGAATAACTCTTTTGATGGTAGATTTATATTATATTGTTTTGAATTTGATTAGGCAAAATCTAACTAGTAAAGAAATACATGGGTGCAATATACTAATAATAACTTTTTTTTTACCATCATATCAGGTGACTTGGATAATTTCAATGAGGAATAACTCTTTTGAAGGCCAATTTCCATGCCAACAACCTATGTCTGAAGGGTTGCTTTTTCTGGACGTCTCTCATAATCTTCTTTCCGATCATCCACCTTCTTGCATTGATTTCACCAACATAGCTGAGATTCATTTAGAAGGGAACAAGTTCACAGGACTGTTGCAAGATTTTCTTCCCAATTCCTCAAGTAGTCTTTCTGTGTTGAATCTTAGAGATAACAACTTGTCCGGCTTCATTCCTGACTTGATTGGTACATTTCTAAATCTAAAACTTCTTCTATTGGGAAAAAATCATTTAAAGGGTTCAATCCCAAAGACATTGTGTTTATTGAAGAATATAAGTATAATGGACCTTTCTAGCAACTCTTTGTCTGGAACAATACCTTCTTGTTTCCAAAATTTGACCTTTGGGGTGATGGAGAAATATAATGAAACTCTTGAACAAGATCAAATGCAGATTATGAACAAGTTTATTGATGAAAATCACATATATGGAGATCTCATAAAGAAGAATCTAGAGCTTGTCATAGATATTGAGGCTATAGGATTGAATGAGATTTATCTAGTTGATAAAAATAGGGGTAGCTCTTACAAGGGTAGTATACTAAATTTCATGTCTGCTCTTGACATGTCTTGTAACAATTTGATTGGAGAAATCCCTCAAGAGCTTGGAAAGTTTACACAGATTCGGGCTTTAAACTTATCTCATAATCAATTGATGGGTCCTATTCCAGTCACTTTGTCAAAACTATCCAACATTGAAAGCTTGGACCTCTGTTGTAACAATTTGAGTGGAAATATCCCTTTAGAGTTGACCAACCTAAACTTCTTAGAGGTCTTCAATGTGTCATATAACAACTTATCTGGCGAGATTCCAATGAAAGGGCAGTTTTCAACATTTGAGGAGAGCAGCTATGAAGGAAACCAATTTCTTTCCAAGCTACCATGGGAGAAACGCTGCATCATTAATGCTGAGACACCACATTTGGAATTATTACCTTCAGATGCAACTAAAGGGAAATGGTATGAAGTTGACCTTCTTGCTTTTTATGCATGTTTTTTCCCAGCATATGCAGTGTTCTTTCTGTTGATCGTGTCCCTTCTCTACATCAACTCTCACTAGCTTGAAAGGCCACTTTATTTCATATCAAACATTAACTACCTTTTGAATTTGGCATTCTTTGACATTTTGAGTCATTGATGAAGATTTTTAGTAGTCCATCTTATTACCTAGTTCTTGCAACTTTATACACCATGTAGTCAGTTTAGTCCTTTGGTTGTGACAATGCCTAGTTATTGTGTATTTGAAGAGGCTGTGTATTTGAATTTGGGGTTTAAATTCAAATAAAAGGTTTGTTTTTATATGACAAGAGTGCATTTCAATATATGCATTTTGATATTTGTATTTTAAAAGCCTAAATACATGTATTTGTTACTTGAACGTCCTTTCTCCAATCTATGTCACCATCCATGTCAACTGGACTACATATCACAAATACTACACAATAAGAGAAATGTGATCAAGTTGTTCATGGCATTTGCTACCTGAATTGTTTGGCCTACCAAGCTGGTAGAAAAGCTTACTGGACTGGACAGACTTATTATTCTAAGCAACTTCCTACGGTTTGAAGATAATATATTAGCTCAAACAAAAAAGATACTTCTGATGCAACCCAAGGGGCAATTGATCAACAAGAGCAGCAACTTTCTGGTGTTAATTAATACTACCATTAGTCCTTGTAGATGAAATAAAAATTGAAATAAGACATATAAAGTATGATTGCATAAACTTACCAATATGTCTTCACAGTTGGAAAAAAATAATTTTCTGATAGTTTTGCATTGTCTAGGAAATGCTCCTGTGGAAAAATATTACAAAAAGAGGGTCAATTTACCCCTTTTTTTTGGGGGGGTGGGGGGGCTGCAGTAGTGCATATATAATCCCTTAACCATCTCTTTTGTCAATACCACATTAATTATATACAATCAAAATAAGGAGAGCAAGATAGTCATGGCCAACCTACCAATATCTAGTAGAAACCACTATTTGGATGCAAACGTGAACACATATACAATAGATCAAAGCTTGGAAGCAGTCCAGCTTGCTGCATTATATAAGTTACTCAGGTTCGGTAAACAGCAAAATGTAGAAACACATAAAAGTGTAGCCCCGTTCGTGTTTACAAAACAAAGTCAAAGCAGATTTTCATGAGAATTCCAAATGGCAATGCCATCACCTCTAGAACAGAAGACGGGGCCGTTAATGATGAATGAAGCAATGGTAGGTCATCTGCACATAAACAAGCCACTTCACCAACAGGAAATTTGGATCCATACCTGCCAGCTCTGCCTGGAAAATCAATAAGTTCATTAAAATTAAAAAAGTGAAACATATAGAAAATACCATGCTGTATGGATCATCAACTTTAATGTGGGTGATCAAAACAAAGAACCTTAATGTTAGTTTTCAGCAAAGGGGCTAACACTATTAACACTATATATCAGCACCATGCAACTTGTATGAATGAGAAAACTGAAAAAGAAAAAGAATTCAACAGAATACTACCAATCCGAATACCAACAATTCATTAAAATTTTAGTTAGATTTCCAAGTAAACTGCAATCTGCTTTATCTCTGGTACTGTAAGCTCCCTCATTTCAACACCATCAAACTTTTTCATAGTGGAGACTATGATCCTTGAAATATTCAGATTAAGACTGTAACATTCCATCCTTGCTTGATTATATTTTAAATAACAGTCCTTAGGTACTAATGACTTAATTGAATAACTTGAAAGTTAAAGGTTTGCATGGCAAACCCAAAACCTTAAGTTAGTGGGCTGCTTTTTCCAAAGCCACTACCTGGAGATTCATGAGGTGGCATAGGCAGATTCCACCAAAAAAATCAGCCCGTGGTTTGGTTGAATTAAAAACCCATTTCATACCATTTACCACATTATGACTTCTTTGCTTTTCCTCAGTCGAGAGAAGCTCTGCAACCTTAACAATTCCCTTTCCTTTTTCTATTCAACCGAAAGAAATGAAAGGAGATTTGGGGAACTTTGCAGCGGCAGTAAATGAAGAAATGAAGAAACGTTTGTTCAACTCTTGCGTTTGTGGGTTGAACCAGAAATGGAGAATAAAGAAAGGGGCAGCTGCAATCAGTGGGGGAATTTGAAGAAATCCAAGGAATTCTACCAAGAATGGTATTGGGCTTTGTGAGGCAAGTATAGATTATGACTCTGGTAGCTGTAATTGAAGTTAAAATGATATTTATCTGGTTAAACATAATCCTAGACCAAAGCTAATGCAAGAAGTGGCTTAATAAAGAAGAATGCTTAACATGCAATTGAAATTATATGAGCTAGATAAAACCCAGTTGGACTGGGTGTATGAAGAGAGATATCTAGATCCATTGCGTAGTAGGAAGAACCATTGGTTGGACCATTGGTGTGGTAGCTACTGAGCTAGGTAGAACCTAGTTGGATTGGGAGTATGAAGAGAGATATCTAGATCCATTGCGCAGTGGGAAGAACCATTGGTATGGTGGGATGTACACCCACAAGGAAAAATTCAGGTATAAGAACTTGCATTCATCTGCATGTTGAACAAGCATAAGCTGCCTTGCTATTATCTTATGTTTATTGGAAGTATTTATGTCATGTTTATTTTTGACACTGATGAAACTGTTCAGTATTGATGAGCAGTGTTTGATGGAACTAATTCTATGCTTCCTGAGGTAAAGGAATGTATTTTCGAGTTTGTTCTAGAATGGAAACTAAGTGAGCATATTTTTGGATTGAACTTACCTGCCCTAAATTAGATAGTTCTAATTTATAGAATATGGATTATTTTCGAGATGACGATTTGTCCATGTCCAATTCTGGTATCTTGACATAAGTTTTACATGGAAGAACAATGTAAGTTATTTGATGGAACTTAAATAAGTTAAATTAAGATTTCAGTCATGGCTCTTAAGTTATAACCTATGCTTATTGGGCTTCATAGCTCATGGTGTGTTGTTCACCCGTTTCAGGTTAGCTAGTAAAGAGATCAACAATTTTTGGGAGACCAAGGGTTTCCTATGGTTGCTGGTAGTGAACAAGCTTTTCAGGTTTGTTGAGGTAACTTGTATCTGCCCAAAGCTGAATCCTATCTCAATGTTTTGTAAAAGAACTTTGCATTATTAGAATATGGTTTGTTTCCAAATGGGGCATCAAGTGACTGAGAGCTGATTCTTAATCTAGTTTATTATCATAGAATTTGCTGTATAAATAAAGTTACAGCTCAAACCTGATTCCTTTGGCTAAGGTTGCAGGTCTGGGATGTAACAAAGACCCTTCCCAATTGCATCACTGGCCACAAGCACATCAAACTCACTGGTTTCATCATTAAACATCATTGCCTGCAATCTTAAACAGCATATTAAAAATAAATAAAGAAAGAATAACAAGGAACTATAAATGATTAAGAAAGAAGATTCATCATTGCATGACAATAAAAATAGCATATCAAGATTTAGACTCATACTGAAGAAGAAAACTAAGTAGAAGAAGAATGGCACCTGTATTGTACGAGTCTCTGGTGGCAATGAACCATAAACCACAGAGCAAAGACGTTTTCCCCCATTCTGAATTTGCTTCTGCAGAAGTAGAAAAGATCAGAAATTCCTTTCAGAAGAGGAGAAAAGAAGGGGCACAGGATTGGAGAGAAGCAAAGTTTGAAATATTTTTATGCACACCTCAATACCAAAGTTAAAAGGAAAATTCTTTCTTCAAAAATAAAAACTGCAGGATCTAAAACATTTAATTAAACATATGAGAAGTAAAGCTTTATTTGATATGTTACAGCCATGCAGTTTTCAGGTTGAAAAAAAATATATTTCCAAATTATTAAAATACAATAAATGGGAGGATATTAAGGCAAGGAGGGATGTAGTTAAGAACTAACCAATTGAAACCACTCAATAACAATCAAGCAGACAGAAACACAGAGAAAGAAAGAAAGAAAGGGAGACGGAGGAAGAGTAGATATATAAAAAGGAGGAAACGGTAAAATTTAAGATAAGAAATTCAACAAAATTGGAAGCGACGCCTAACTTTAAATTTATAGATCTGCTGACGTGAAAATGTTACAATGCAATCTCCTGTTTTTATATTAGAAAAAGATCCAAGAGAAACTTATAGAGGAACTAGTGGTGAAAGTCTTCCATAAGTTTGGACCTGGGACATTAAGCATACAAAGATTACAAATTTACAATAGAAACAAACAGAAAAAGAAAGTTAACAAGCATGCCATTTTGCTTTAACATAAATGTTCCCTTTAACAAGATGAAAAGAAAAAAGTAAAACTTAAAAAATTGATCAAACATACATTCCAGAAAATTACAGTACCTCTACATTATCGTCAGTCACTTTCAGCATTTCCTGAATAGGAGGAACAGTAGCCGCATCTCCACAAAGATGATGTTTATCAGCAGCAATTCCCAATAGAGCACGTGTGAATGAAAAACCCCTTGTTTTACAGCCCAACATATATAAAGAACAAGAAAAGATTAGAAGAATGAGAAATAAGGAAGATCAATCCAAAAATAGCTATTCCCTTTTCCAGACAGCGACATATTGACAATTTCTTAAATCACTCCAATGTATCAACTTCAAATTTAATTAATGCAACTGTTTGTGTAAGGATGCTGAAAATATGGCATGAGAAAATAGCTGATTAAAGAAAAATTTGCCTGTGTTTCATCAATAACAGCACAATGGGAATGGGAGGTAACATCAGCCATCTCCACTGTGATAGCTTTGTGCCTTGCACCATCAACTTCGTCTCTCTCTTGTCCTGTTATTAGATCACAAGGAACTTTTGCCTTGTTCATTCGATTTGCCACTTCCCACGCCAATAAGGAATAAAGAGACGAGTATTACAGGTCTTTCTTGCTTTCGAAGTTTCAGCTTCTCCTACCACATACATTGCAAATTTGATAGGCAAACAAATTACACCTATTTTCTCAAAATAACAAAAGGAAGGACTTTCAAAATTAGAATCCCAATAGGATTGGAACAGATAGTTACAAGAAAATAAACCCAAAAAATGCAAACAAAGACAACAAATACAGTCAGCGAATTTTGCACCCCAAGAAAATGATTTCAGGGTCTAACCTTGAAGGATGCAAGAAATCCCAAAGGCTGAAGCTTTCCGCTGCCGAAGAAGCAAATAGGCCATTTTCTCCTTTCCTTTTGGATGAATACTAACCGTTTGTTGAAATTACGCAACCAGTTGTTGTAGATTCAAACGAGAAC